GTATGCTCTCAGATGTTATATTGCCTGCATGGCTCCCTTTTATAATTCCTCTTCCCATTTATTTATCCATCAGAACCCTTCCTCTCAAATAGACATTTCACCCATTATCCTCACAGATTGGATTCTCCAACTCATCAGGCACTCTTATTCCTTTTTATCTCCCAAATCCAACATTTTTTTCAGGTGTCATCTCATCAGATTTAATATCTTGCCTTTTCCCTGGCTGCTTATCTATGTTGTCCCTTAGAAGAAATCATGCCCAACACTTTCATTTCCCATTACCTCCATCATATGGATGTTTCTTCATCCTCCAGATACCACATTCTGCCTGTAGCCATATTACACACAACAATTCAACTGTGAGTTAGTAAGTATCTTTTTCTTTTTCTCTGATTTTCCTTACAGGGTCACACCCTTATTTTATGTTGGATCCTGTTCAGTGGTGAGTGGTGACTACCTAGGTATACTGATCAGGTGGGAACCCCATCCTACTATCTCCTGCAAGATTGATTTCCAGGAGAGCTGGTTTTGGAAACATTAGTATATCTAGTAGCTGGTCCAGATCCTTTCCAAAACCAGACCTCCTGGGAATCAATGTCCAAGAGATGATAGGATGGGGCTCTCCAGCTCATTAGTATATCTAGTAGCTGGTCCAGATCCATTCCAAAACCAGACTTTCTAGGAACCAACTTCCAGAAGATGATAGAAGGGGGTTTCCCAGTTAGAGAGGTGAACTGCATTTTAGTAGATCATCTCCAGTCCATGACCAGGCAGGTTTGGGGATTTTTCTTCTGGTCTCTGGTTAGAGAAGGGTTCTACACCATCTACAGCAACAGAACACCACTGCCATACTCTCGAATGAATGAGATTTAGCACATTCAAGAGGAAGCCTTCATGATCCAACACCCTAGTGGCTAGAAACTGGTAAGTGGTAAGGACTCATGTACTCCACTTGTAGAAGGGAGGAAAGCACAGTGGAGAGTCCAGAAGAAAGCTACATTGAAGACTGTGCAATGGGTGAACATGAAACCCTATTTTCAAAAGCGGGCCACTCATGATTTATCCAGTCTAAGAAATTGAGGGATGGGCAGCAAACCCATAAGTACAGTCTGGGATGGGCATATTTATGCTGCAATATACCATGAGGTGAACCTACTAGCACTCTTGTGGAGCACCCCATCTCAACAGTGGGCATTATAGGCTTTGTTGTTATGGTTATGTTGGCTGATACAGCTCCCTTCCTATGGTACAATGGGGGTACCCCAGCCAACAAAATATACCTCAACTGGTCCAGCTCCAGCTGGAGAGCCCCATCCTATCATCTCTTGGACATTGATTCACAGGAGGTCTGGTTTTGGAAAGGAACTGGAGCAGCTAATAGGAACATCTGTTTTTGGATTTGAGAGAACCACTTCCCTTCCTACTGTCGTTTGGATTTTGGGTTATCATGTGACTGGTTTTGGTTGTGGATTTGCACGTGTACCCTGACTAGGAAGACTGAATGGAATGTTTTTTTCCATTCTGTTTACTCATCTTGAGGCTGGACAGTAAGTACCTGATGCTGCCTGGGTTTGGACTGGTTTGGTCTGACACACCCTTGCCATTCTACACCATGAGCCACATTTGTTTGTATATTAAAAAACTAATTGACTGGGAAATCTCCATCCTACCATTTCCTGCAGGATGGTTCCTGGGAAATTCCATTTTGGAAAGGAGCTATACCAGCCAACATATCTACAATCAAGGATGTGTTTCTCTTTTCTACCCAATTTAGCAATATGTACTTTCATAATGGGCTAAAGTATACCTGGTTCAGCTGTGGTGGGTCTCCCTTGAGTATGTTTCTTTAACAAGAGAAGTCGCACTCCATGGGTTTTCTACAGATTCTTTATGAAGGGTGCTCATGTAGGCAACTCTTATACTAGTCCTTCCAAAAGGTCTATGTGGGATTTAGCTATTATGTGAGAAGAGGTATGATACCATTTTGAAAATTAATTTTCCTATGCTGAAAATATATTTCTGATAGATACTTACCACAAACTTTCTACCCTTCCTCCCCATTTTTGGTGTTCTTTTCTGTCTAATCTTGAAGTTAAGATTGAGTTCTACAGAAAAGAGGGAGCAGGCTGCGATAGGAGAGTGTGTTGCTTTCCTGTTGGTGGAGGGTTATCACATGCTTATTTGCATGCTACATTGCAGCTGAGCCACTTTGAAACAAGAGGTAGTTGGGAGTTTCAAGGCTAGTGGTGAGAAAAAACATTTGTGCATATGAAGGGCAGCACTGAATAAGAAAAGCTATTATGTGAGTAGAGTTAAGTATCTATATTTCAGTGTAGGAAAATATTATCTCTGTTTTGCTTGTTTCAAAAAATGACTACCATTTGTTTTTTTCTAACTGTATGAACAAGTCGTACAATTTTGTAAAGTGAAAAATCTTATAAAATGTGTTTAGTGCTTCATTTTATTTTGGTTTAATAAGCCAATATAACTAATTCACTCTTTTCATGCTGTTTTTGTGTGTGTATCTTTTTTATGTCATAAGTTAACATGTGTTGATTAAAGTTGATCAGCTCAATATTGTTGGGATAGCTCCAGAAATAATCATTATAGGAGGCTTAGCATGTGAGGAGTGGGGAGAAGGTGAAGATTTTGGGTTTGCTTTCAAAGTAGTTTCTCTGAAGTCACAATCATGAATGGATAACAACAATATGGTGATTTCAGTAGGGTACACTGTCAACTGTAGATAACAACAATAATAACAACAATATGGTGATTTCGGTAGGGTACACTGTCAACTGTAGATAACAACAATATGGTGATTTCGGTAGGTTACACTGTCAACTGTAGATAACAACAATATGGTGACTTCAGTGGGGTACACTGTCAACTATAGGTAACAATTAAAACAAAGTCCTTTAAAAAAAATGGAAGTAAGTGTAGAGAGGGCTAATATCAATTCTTTACAATGAATGCAAACAAGATAGTAGATATGGTTTTTGCATCATTCCTACATAATAGCACCAGGAAGAATTAATATATAGAAATATATATAACTATTCAATCACAGTTGAGTTTAATTTATCCCAGTTTTGTCTGTTAACATTTTACTACACTGTGTGCCTGTGCTATTATGTAGAGACGATGCAAAAGCCATCTCTACTACTTTGTTTGCATTCACTGTAAAGAGTTGATATTAGCCATCTCTACATTTACTTCCTTTTTTGAAAAGTGTTTTCTGTACATGTTTTTTTAATGCAATGTTTCAATATATATATTG